CGCTCGGCCACATTCCTTGTCCCAGGTTCCCTTCGCTGCCCCTTTAAGCATGAAAAAAACGGATTGCACCTATCAAAAGACTTGGAGATGAATCGGTTGAGGGCTGCTAGCATTCCAATCAACTTCTGTATTTCTTTGGTAGTCCTTGGTACTTGGATGTTCTACACGGCCTGTATCTGCTCTGGGTTGGCCTCAATGCCCCTGTGGGTGACCAAGTACCCTAAGAACTTGCTCGAGCTTACACCGAATGAGCACTTTGAGGCATTAAGCTTCAAACCGTAGTTTTGAAGTATGGCGAATGTGGTCCTAAGGTCCCGGAGTTGATCGGAACCCTCCCTGTTTTTCACCAGCATATCGTTAATTTATACCTCCATAGTCACGCTGAGTTGCTATCTAAAAATCTTGTTCATCAAGCATTGGTAAGTGGTACTGACCCAAACGGCATCACCATGTAGCAATAAATTCCTCGGGGCGTAATAAACGTCGTTTTCTCCTCATCTGATTCATGTAAGGGAATTTGGTGATGACCTACCTGAGCATCCATAAAGGAGATATATTTGTGACCTGCAATCGCATCGACCAGCTGATCGACCTTTGACAACGGATACTCGTATTTGTGGTATGCTTTGTTCAAGTCTATGAAATTCACACAAACTCGTCATTCCCCTCCTTTTTCTTAGCACACACCGTTTTGGATAACCACTGAGGGAATTGCACCTCTCGAATTAAGCCCGCCCCCAACAATCTGTCCACTTTCTCATCTATGGCCTTTGCGTGGTGAGGTGCCATTCTTCGAGCTTTCTGTCTCATGGGTTTAAAGGATAGGTCGACATGGAGCCGGTGAATTATTACCTCGGCGCTTATATCTATCATCTCCGCCTATGTCCATGCAAAGACGTCGGCATTTTGGTGCAAGATCTCTATTATGTCAGACTTCTCGGTGTCATCCAGTAACTCCCCTATTAGAAAGTACCTCTCCTCGTCCTCAGGATTCAGAAAAACTTGGACCAAGGCTTCTGTGAAACGATTGGTTGGTTCCGTAATAGGATCATCAACCCCAGGCCAATCGAACAATGATTGTTATTTAGCCACAACTGCCTCGGGATCGCATTCCTGGGCTCGACTGCTGACCCCGGTCTTTACTGCATCGTAAAAATAGCTTTTTGACGACGCCTGATCACCACGAATCTCCATGATGCCCCTTGGGGTGGAAAACTTGACCTTCTAGTGATAGGATGAGTGCACTGCCCTCATCACATGCAACCACGTTCTGCCCATGATAACATTATACGACAAGCCAGAGTCTATCACCACAAACTCAACTAGGACAGCAACTATCCCTTCATGAACTATAAGAGTGATCTTCCCAAAGGGAAGGGCGATAGAACCATTGAAACCTATGAGAAGGGTCCTTACTAGTTTCAATTCCTTCAGGGTGACCATATTGCGAAAGTGGTTGTCATACATCACCTCAAATGAGCTACTCAAGTCCATTAGAATCCTCTTGACGACAAACTTGTTGACCCGCAGGGTGATCACCAAAGTGTCTTTATGTGGGAGCACTAACCCTCCCAGGCCAGCATCAGAAAAGTGAATGACCTCGGCGTCTCGCCGAGGCCTCTTGGAAGACTGTTCCTCACACCTGCTCTCCTCCACTTTTACTGCTTGTGAGACCTTTTAGAGATCGACTCGGAGGGAGTTATACGTTGGTCTCTCGACGGTGCAAGCGTGTATGACTCCGATCACAGTTGCTGCTTCATGAGGCGCACTGACTACCCCTGTCGGGCCTCTGGGAGGTCTCCTATTAATAGACTCCCCCAGGTGCCCGTCTCAAACCAATTGCTCGAGGAAGAACTTATACACTTTGTAGTCTTCAATCAAATGCCCTACATCCCTATGATAAGAGCACAGAGACGTGAAGTCTCTCATTGACGGGTTTTCTTACATCTTGGGGGGTCATTTAAAGAAAGGCTCCCCTTTTATCTTATGCAACATCTTGCAAATTGGTTCCTTGAAGATCATATTCACCCCTTGAAAAGACAGACGATTTGGAGGCGAGATGGGAGCCCTTCTCCTAGCAGTTGGTTCTTTCTCCCTTTTCCTGGACGTTAGGGCCCTACTTTCGGGCACAATGGACTCTTCCTCTACCCTGGCATATTTGTTTATCCGAGTCATCAAGTCCTTCATATCTCCCGGGACTCTCTTAGTAAGGGACCTGTAGAGGTCGGTGTCTCAGGCTAATCCCAACCGAAATGTCACTACAGTCATCACCTCCGAACAGGCTTCGACCTCATTCACTTTTTCTCAATACCTAATTGCGTACTGTAGTAGGGATTCTACCCCTCTCCATTTGAGCGTTAGTAAAACGTTGACGTCTTTCGGCCTCTTGTTACTAGTGATGAATCAAGGAACAAAAAGCTCGGTTATTTGCCTCCAAGATATTATGCTCTACGGGGCCAAGCTCTCATACCACTTCATCGCAGTGTCCCCCAAGTTCATGGAAAAAACTCGGCACAGAAGCATTTGATCAGTGTCGTAAATGGACTTTAACTGTTTGTATTGTCGTAGGTGGCCCTTGGGGTCTGTCCTTTCATCATAAACTTTGAATCGGGGGACAGTGAACTTCTTCGACATTTCGATCTCCCAAATGGCCGGTACAAATAGAGAGATGATCTGATCGTCGTCGTCCATATTCCCCTCGAGTTGAGGTTTCTAGCGTTTGGCATCCAAGCACACTCGGAGGTCCCCTAGGGGCCTCACTCTCTTAGGGCCCCCTCGCAGTGGACTTTGTGTGGGACTCAGTTACCGCAGCGCCCCCTGATAGTACATGGCGTAGGTCCCCCTAGGACAAGCCCGCCCTGTAGTGATCCTACTCTGATCCTTCCTCGGGACCAAGCTTTCCCCAGCTTCGTTGGTTGTGCCTCTTGGCCATGCGCCCGCGCAAGCTTCTCCCAAGGGCATCTAGCTTCATACCCTTGGAATCACCTCGACTGAAACTTTGACCTTCGTGCCTATTGCTCCGCAAACTAGCACTTCCCGACTGCTTGAAATCATCGAGCCGATGTTGTACCTTGGCATTATCCTCCTTCTCAAGTTGCTTGATGCACTTTCCCATCCGTTTTTCCACCAACTCAAGGATTTTACGAGCCAAAAGGCCTTGCCCCCCAAGGCCTTGATCTACGGGAAACGTTCTCTGTGAGGCATGTTCGTCTCCATCTGACCGACTCGTCTGGTCTGACTCCATGACTGTTGAGAGCCAAGTAGCCTCCGCATTTTTCACACGTATACTCCCTCCCCCCTTAGCTTGGGATCGTGTGTTCACTATAAATGAACCTGAAATAACCACAAGGTTAAAAAAGGGACCAAGTGAACACACCATTTATCCCCTCAAAAGCTTAAGCCATTATAAGTTTGGAGACTTGAGCACAATGTATTTCTTTTCTCAGTTTAGTTTTTTCGTACTTTTATTCATTTTTGTGATGAGTATTTATATTTGGATTAGTAATGAGTGTCAAGGCTTGAAGTCCCTTCTCAACATTTAATGACTATCACTCTTACCCATGCGTAATAAGTGTTCTCCACCCAAATTTTCGAGCCTAGTATACTCGGACAATAGGGTGACTGTTCAGGACATGCCAAGAACTTATGGCCCTATCCCCGGTCATTCAAGTCTTCTGACCGGTGTTTTGACGCCTAGTCCCTAGCGTTCAACGTTTGGAGGAACAATACCTCAGGGAGCATCGAGGAGATATATTCGGCGTAATAACCATTAATTCTTTGCAATCATGACTGCTGCTTTGGGTCTCGAGGATGCAAGGGCTCATTTATAGCCCTGTCTCTGTCACATCTCCATAAATGAGCTATCAAATCGCCTTGAATACTGGTGTCAGTCTGTGTACTCAGCTCCTTCGAATCATTACTCCTCAACGCCATTTCTCGTTGTTTTTTGAGTTCCGTAACGACTACACCATTACACGTGTCAGTCTAAGAACCGCTAAGCCGCCTAAAGTCCTGTCACAAAGAGAGATGATTCTAGAGCCAAAGCAGTGTGTATCATAAAGATAAACCAATTCTAAAATAACAAATCACTAGTCATAACTCGTATTAGAAGACATGATCAAAAATAAAATTCAAGCGTTCAAAAAAATTTATCCTATTATATTAAATAATAATTTTTTAAAATACGTAATTTGATAGAATACGAATGGAAAATATTTAAAATAAAAATTATATTAAACTATAAATTAATCCAATATTAAAATAATTGAGTATGTGATAAAAATAAATGATATGATATTTTTGGAATAAAAAATATATAAAAAATAAAATTCAATTTGTGAACTATCTTATTATATAGACGTTCTTTATTCACCTTTATATAAATACAACAGTACAAAATTTCTACATTCCATTGGTTCCAACCCAAACTGCAAATTTTCAATTACGGAAATTTTTTATGAGTTTCATCTGCACCTAAAACCTATATTGACGTTTTGGACTGGGGATTCATAATGTGTTTCCAACAACTCTGCATAAGTTTGTACTTCATTTCTCACATGCTTTTTTATGTAATTGTTGACAAACAGACTCAGTTCATAAATTGCAAATGTACGCACAACACAACAACATAATTCTTTGTCATGGCAGATTTGGTTGAAAAGGTAAGAGAATAAAAACACTGAAAAATCAAATATTTGATCAACCACCCAAAGTTCAAAAACAGAACGATGGGTTCAATCATCTGAACTTCAAATTCTTCATAACCAAAACAATGTTATGTACACATAATCCAACAGATACAATAGAGATACTAAATTACAATTGATAAAGTCAACCGAGCACTGGATTTGAATGCCAAAACAAAACAAAAAACAAATCCTAATCTACTCAGGTTTTTGATTGTTCAAAAATTAAAAGTACAAAAAACTATAAATTACAATTCCTCAATTGATCACTACAAAGCACACAACATAAACTATGGAATATACCAGTATTTGGGCTGGAAAGTAAGCAAATAAATAGCATTGATGTTTACATTCTGTTATTCCCTCGGTGGGATCTAAATGCATCAAAATAGGACTAATGGAATCTTTACATACATAAACATACCCACATCCACATCCGCACACACAGAATCTGAAAGAAAAATTTCAGTCTAAAAAAATAGGAAACATAAATTTCCATTGATTAAAAGCAAAAAAACATCATATCATCCCTAAGCTTCTACATTAAGAACTAATCACGAAGATTTACAATACTCCACCTATAAACCAGACCCACAAAAAAAAAACCCACAAACCATTGCAACAGAACAGGTGTAGGACGACAACCTAAGCCCTCTCACCCCTAATCCTCCTTGCAAGCTGAATGTCCTTGGGCATGATCGTGACCCTCTTGGCGTGAATAGCACATAGATTGGTATCCTCGAAAAGACCCACCAAGTACGCCTCAGCAGCCTCCTGGAGAGCCGCCACAGCAGAGCTCTGGAACCTCAGATCGGTCTTGAAATCCTGAGCGATTTCTCTCACAAGCCTCTGGAATGGAAGCTTTCGAATCAAAAGCTCAGTGCTCTTCTGGTACTTCCTAATCTCCCTCAACGCCACTGTTCCTGGGCGGAACCTGTGGGGCTTCTTCACTCCTCCTGTGGCCGGAGCTGATTTTCTCGCGGCCTTGGTCGCTAGTTGCTTCCTTGGTGCCTTGCCTCCGGTGGACTTGCGAGCGGTTTGCTTGGTACGAGCCATTGATGATAAGAGAGAAAGAAGACAGTGTGCAGATATATATATATATATATATATATATATATATATATATATATAGAGAGAGAGAGAGAGAGAGCTGTATGTATATGGAGAGAGAGGATGAGTTTGTGTGATTGATGTGGGCGGGTTCTGAGGGGTATATATCAGTGGTTGGGGAAGGGGAAGGTTTGAAATTTTGAGGGTGGTTTGAATTTTTGGTGGGCTTGAGGTTTTGGAGGTTGAACATCTATCGTTGATATGTACAGGATTGAGCGGTATAGATTAAGAGACAAATCGAGGAGCGGATTGGGATCCGGGTGCTCTGTTAAGTAACCAGTAGAGAGGTGCCATGTCGCTACTGTGTAGTTTTGATTAAAGAACGTCGATTGGGAAAGGTTTGTGAACGGCCAGGATTAAAGAACCTCTCAGGAGCTTGGATTGCAATCCGTATGTCTTGTTCAGTGACCAGTAAAAAGTTGCCACGTTTACACTCTATTTTATTATGTTTTGTTTATCTTTCCTCCTTTTTTTTCGCTTTTTAGTAATTATAGACTTTAAATTATAAATAATTAAAGCCCTATTTAGCCTTACTTTTTTTTTTTGATATAAACTAGCTTTAAAAGTTAAAACACCCGGTAAATAAATTTGAATTTCATATTAATCTTTCTTTTTTTCTCCCTTCTAAATTACTTTGATAAACAATATTTATATTAAATGATCTAAATTTCAGTAGTGTTATATTTTTGAACCTAAATACTTCAAATGTAGACAAGAGAGAGAAAGAGAAGCCAAAAAATTGAAATATGACAATCGAAGTTATGATTAAAAATTTGAAGTTCACTCGATTTGGGTCAAATTTGGTTATCTTTAACTTAGCATGAATTTGGGTAAGGACTAGAACTAGTAAGGATTAAAAATGTCCCAAACAGTGCATGAAAGCATAAAACTTTTGACTTGAACATTAAATTCTTCCCCAGTTCATGGACTCTTTATTCAATGGAATACACAACCTCATTGCTCCTGGACTCTTTGCCAAATCAGCGTTTGGCATAGCCGGGGAAGAGAAGAGAATGCCAAAAAAAGACGTTGAAGTCGTCCACCTGAAATTTGATAACCTGGTTGGAGTTGCCATGTGAATTTTGTTCCCTCCAAATACCGGCTTCTAGCAGAGTTCACAATGTTCTTAACAGTTTCACCCACACAACTTCGAGTCGTATCATTTTTCCCATGAAAGGATCCTCCATGAAACTACCATTACACGCAGTGCAAAACTCAAGACTAATGATTGAAATGTGCAAGCGTCTGCTATTTTTTCCCTCAAAAAATAATTGTGAATATATACAACATCAGCAAGATGAGAGTGAGCCGGACCGGATAACCTGGTCTCAAGCTGAATGACAAATATGATTGTGTTTCAAACCTCCCCATAAAACTACAGACCTCAAAAAACCAGGAAAAAAAAGTCAAAATCTAAAAAATGGCTCCAACAAAACTTTCGATTTCAGAAAAAGGGTTGTAAAATTAATTTTCCCTCTTTCACCGTCTTCTTTTACTACAGTTGCCACATCAAGCAGTCAAAACCACCTCTGCTCACCTAGATGCTCCTGCAGCAGTACCCTTATCGAAATCCCCTTGCTCTTCTTTAGTAAACTCTTCAATTAGTTCTCGTTGTCTCGGTGTCAAATCCCTGCAGACAGAAATTCTCAAACATCAAGCGTTGTTTGGATAGAAAAGGAAATGATGCAGATCCCCCTTTTTTCTAGTGTAGCATTTAGTATGAGAAGAACAATAAATGAAAACATGATTGGCACAATTCAAAACAAGATCTAAAGGAAAGGGAGCCTACGTTGGGATGCTGACATTGAAGTGCACGTATTGATCTCCAAACGAAAAACCAGTCCTTACTTTAATCCCTGCAAAGAACAAAGTAATTAAGTACAATATATTCAAAGCATATATATGAATAACTAGTAAGGAAGTATTTGTTCATGCACTTTTAGAGATGATGGCGTTCTCAAACAGAATTTTGAGCCTACGGAATATTTTCAAG